TCCTTCCTTCCGCAGGCTCAAAGCCACCCTGTGGCCCATTGTCCCCAAGGATGCCTTCCCCACCCTGCCTGCAGCCCTGGACTGTGACCTGCTGTCGAGCAAGCGAGGAGCGGTCGACGCCGTGCCAGGGCCGGGCTCACCTCGCCGACTGGCCAGACTTGTGGCTTTCCAGCTTTCTCGAAGGCCTTGCTGCAAACACAACCCCTGCTCACCACAATGGTCACACAAGTTTGGGTCCAATCAAGAGCGTGTGTGCCACCGTGCACCAGAGGCACTGCTGGCTTCAGGGACTGCCGCATCCTATCCTGGCGTCCCCGTCCTTGCACCCCTCCTTTCTCTCTCATCCACCAACAATGGAAGAGGTTAGAGCTCCTTTCCCAAACAGGTGCAGTTCCCTCGCAGCCTTCCTAGCCGTGAGGACGGGAGGAAAAGTCAGGGTCAGAGGTTTTAGAGACAGATTCACCTAATTGCAAGGAACAGTTTGTACTTTGCAGGCTTTTATACAGCCCCAAAAGCCACACCGAGCCATGGCTACAAGCGAGAGTCGAGGCAAACAGAAGGAAGAGGCCAACTGACGGCCGGCTACCCAGAGAGCCCCTGCCAAGGGCAGCTCGGAGGTGCTCCCTGCCTCCAGAGGGGAAGGAGGGGCCAAGCACCAACTGCACAAGGAGCAGGGACCAGTATAGGCCAGGGAGAGATGCAGGAATGGACAAACTCACCCCAAAGGGCAATTTTGGTCCTAAAGCAGCACCTGTTTGAGACCCCAGCAAGTCAGGGACCCCTACTCCTTCCAGAGGGAGGACGGGAACATCCCCTCTTCCTGCTGCCCACTCCCTCCAGCACAATCAGCCTCAGATCATTTCAACTGCCACGTGTTCTGCAGCACCTCCTAATTAAATTAATCAATTAAATAGAGTTCTTGGCCCAGAGATACAAATCCTGGGCCAGTGTGGATGGACCAAACAGCATCCGGCAGATACACTAGAAATAACACAATTGGAGCCCTTCAAGAGAGCTGTGCCGAGCCCTAGCTGCACTCTGTCTGAGAGGAGGCCCCACGGGAGGTGTCCCAGAGACCCTCGCCGCAACTTCCATTTCATTTCCCAAAGTACAGGTTTTAGGTCCGATGCTGACAGCGTAACCCTCCTGAGCAGGCCTCAGCAAGCACGCCAGACACGGCGAGTGCTGCGGAGGGGGACCTGCTTTCATGTCAGGCGGCGGCCGGGCTGCAGGCTCACAGCCGCTTCGTCTGCCTTTCGCCAGGTAGGGAAGGGGGGCACAGGGATCCACAGGGAACCAGTTCTAGGGTTCTGGCGCAGGAGGCAAACCTCGCTCTGGTTCTGTACGTCCCTTCCATCCCACTCTATCAGCCAGGCAGAAACTGCCCCAGGAGAACTGTAATGCCGGGGAGTAATGCAATTCCCTCCCCACTGAATAACCCATGTGAATGTGCGCTGCGCTTTGCTGCTCTGCTTGAGATTTAATTTGATATTTTAAAGTAGGTTAAACAACATCCACTGACCTACAATTAAAGCAACCCTGCCCAGGTGTTCCTGTTCTGAACAAACCTGCTCCATGGCACTCGTGCCTGCTCCCAGCGATGCCTCACACCACACCGCTCACTGATAAGCGGCTGCTATCGGCTGCTGCGATAGCTCACAGCCAGGTACCGCGGGCTTGGCCACAGCAGCAAGGACAGGTAGGGCCGCCCTGCTATCCCCCCCCAAATGCAGCATGCAGCCTGCTGTGAAAAAGCAGAGGCATGCCTGTCCCCCCAAGTCACAGCGTGTCACGCACAGCTGCTCAGAGGACATCCCCCGCTCCCTCTTCTTCTCCTTCATCCCCCTGAGGCAGCAGCACAGGGTCAGCGACTTCCTGCAAGCGTTTGACAGCGCAGAGCAGCAAAACCTCCAGCCCCAGAGCTCCCAGCAACACCAGCCTGGTAAACGTCCAGTGTCTCGGCAGGGGGACTGCTGCACGCTGCTGAGCGACACC